AGTACAAACTGCTACCGACGTGACTCTTTTATTTTGGCGACACAAGTCACCTATCGAAGAACACGAACAAATCGTCGAAACTTTCCCAGCACGCCTTCTTTCTCCCTTGTATATACTGTACAGATTATTTTCTCTACTAACATTGTACAGTAGTGTTGAAAAGTGCCCCCTCCCTCCCTTATTCTGTGTTTGACGACGACGAAATTGTGAACATGGCTGAACCACAGTGGTCGAATGGTTTCAATCAAAACGTTTGGAATGGTGTCCCAACGGGACGCATGGGTGAGTTGCAAAGTTGATTTTCTATTCATAACTTTTTTCGATTTTCCTCTTTTTAATTACCGCACTCTTTTATACTAAAAATATGATGTGTGATTTCACGCGCTTCAAAAGCACCAGTTTTCTTTGTAGTGGTCCAATATTTAAAGTTTTACAAGAACAAGTGTTTCGTAAGCATGCGTTCATACTTTTCTGAGTTGATCAGAGCGCTCACAAGGCGTCAGAGTTTTCAGCGTCTAGAAAGTATAGGTATCTATTACCAATCAAAACGATAAATCGATACCTACACTTTCTTAGTCGCTCAAAACGCTGACAGACGCTGAATGCTCAAAACGCTGCTGCCAATATGAACACACTCTAAGAGAATTTGTATAACACTGCAATGTGCAACATAAAGAGGCCCCAACAGTCTACCTGGAATAAAACTCCGAAGAGCTCCTCCGAAAAAATCGCATTCAAAAGGGTTTATATAAACAAAGTGGTTTCTGTAGCGAGTGCATTTCTTTGTTGTCATTTGTTTATGCCTTCCCAGGCACTAGTACACTGAGGAGGGGCAGAAAAGGTTCATCCACTCCGGAGCTCTTTTCCCGCTAGGTTTGGGCAGAAGTCACCACCCTCGTTAGCTCGTAGCCACTTTTTCCTCCCTCACCCTCTCTCACCCCCAACTTTCCTTATAATTTAAGAAAATGTTGTAGTTTGGAACACCATGGGTACTCGGCAGTAATCTGTAATATTCCCCCTCCCCCACCACAATTGGGGCTGTACCCGGTCCAAAATTTAAAGCAATAGTGCTTTAACGATACGTTTCTTTTGTCTTAGTATAAGTTTACGTCTGAATGTATTTCTTCTTCGTCTCTATGACGGCCGTAATTCTGACTCTACTCTGACTTTTTCCAGACTCAATTCAGTTAACACAACCGATAATGGGGCTAACTCGCAATACATACGTCCAACGCGCGTCATCGCTACCATTGAATCGTAGGCGACCTGGATGCTAGGCAGATGTAAGTCGATAATTGCTTGAGGCTGGATCGCCTGCATCTGCAAATCGAAATACGTTAGTATTTTGTATCCACTCCATTATTTTGTTTTTCAATACACTGCACAAATGTGAAGTCTACGTCTGTGCGTGAAGTGTTTTATTTTGTCCTACCTGTTGTTTGGAGGTGCAGGATGTAGTGTAGTGGAACACCCCCCCCCGACAGTAAGGTTCCAAAGTGACCGGGAGATACTGACAACACGTCTGGGCCCAACGAGTCACTGTGTCATATCGCCTTACTAAGTCACCACGATACACGATACGGCGTGGAAGTAGAATGCATGCAGCTCCCCAGAAAGGATCGATCAACGGCGAAGAAAACATCCTTGATCCTTTATCAAATTTTTAAGAGTGAATTTTGGAATTTGATGACCTCTATGAGCTTTGAGGTGCCAACCTGTAGTTTTCCTTCACCGCTAGAGTAGTTTGCAATTTTCCGGGCGGGGAAGACCTAGGGTAAGTGCTCTTCCAACTTTTCACCAATAACGACTGGTCTCTTTCTCGGCAGCTACTTCTCCCTTGACATGTACCGGCTGACGGAAAGTTGCCGATAGGGCCCCCTCTTTCGCCCCCTTCCCCCCTCCCTCCACAGAGACTCCTTGCACTGAGCTAGTTATGGAGGAGTGGGTGTCAGACATAGACGCTTCATTGTAGCAGACGTGAACGCTTCATTGTAGCATCTCGACGCTCTTATGTTCACATAAACTGTTACCAGGGTGCGGGAGGAGTGAGGTCGTTTTTGCCTCCAAGAAAAAATTTTTCGGTGTGAACTTTTGCCGGTTTTCCCCGTTTCACGTAAGCTGTGCATCATGTCCCTGTCACCAGCATTTTTTCGAGTAAAACTGGAAAATATTTGGAGAAATTCCCCGAAAGTGGTAGGAAATCTGGAAAATTTAGGAAGATGGTAGGTAGGATGTGTGATGGGGGGGGGGGAATAGGTCAGGGCCGTACCAATGCCGTTTGAGAGGGAGGTCGGATTCTGCAGAAATTTCCCCAACGGCAGGGCGTGCCGCGAGTGTAACCCTGCTGAGGGAGATTAGGAAGTAGTAGGTAATTTTCCAGGTTTATTTCCTGAGAAAGAAGTTGTCTCTGGCGTTCTGTAACGGAGGAAAGGCTATCCTGGTGTCCCTTATATACAGCGACAATTGAAATTTTACTTACACTGAATTTTTCAGGGTCCGCCAAGCACAAGAGGCGAAGTTTCTTTGCGCATAATCGACGGAAAGAGGTACTTGTGGAGATTTGACCCTTTTTCGCGCTTATATGGTTTCAACTGTATTTTCTGGAAAAAAATTCGCTTATTCAGTGA